CTCCTCCTCCTCCTCCTCGTCCGCATCCTCTGCTTCCTCCTCCTCATCCTCCTCCTTTTTCCCCTTTTCCTTCTCCTCCTCCTCCTCCTCGTCCTCCTCCTCCGCCTCCTTTTCCTCCTTTTCCTCCTCCTCCTCCTCCTCCTCCTCCTCCTCCTCCTCTTCCTCGTCCTCCTCCTCCTCCTCCCCCTCTTCCTCATCCTCTTCCTCCTCCTCTTCCTCCTCCTTCTCCTCCTCCTCCTCCTTCTCCTCCTCCTCTCTTCTCCTCTTCTTCCTCCTCCTGCTCCTCCTCCTCTTTCTCCTCATCTTCGTCCTCTCCTCCTCCTCCTCCTCCTCCGCCTCCTTTTCCTCCTTTTCCTCCTCCGCCTCCCTCCTCTTCCTCGTCCTCCGCCTCCTCCTCCCTCTTCCTCATCCTCTTCATCCTCCTCCTCTTCCTCCTCCTTCTCCTCCTCCTCCTCCTCCTCTCTCCTCCTCCTTCTCCTTTTCTCCTCCTCCTCCCCTCTTTCTCCTCCTCTTCCTCTCCTCCTCCTTCTCCTCCTCTTCCTCGTCCTCCTCCTTCTCCTCCTCCTCCTTCTCCTCTCCCACTCCTCCTCCTCCTCCTCCTCCTCCTCCTCCTCCTCCTCATCTTCCTTGTCCTCCTCCACCTCCTTCTCCTCCTCCTCCTCCTCCTCATCCGCCTCCTTCTGCTCCTCCTCCTCCATTATTTCTCCTTGTGAACAGCTCCTCCCTGTCGCACCCAGAGGCTGGCGGCCCGGGCGTTTCGCTGGAGCCTTCCTTACCATCTACGACCCCAAAGCTTACACATTGGCAACAGCTTTTGCAAGTGGAGGGCGGAGCCCTTCCAACATATGGTTCTCGTTTTAGCGCCGCGCACACTCGTCTTAAAAATCGGAATACTTGCGTAGTTCACGGATTGAGGGCGGATCCGTGTTTCAAAGTGTGGCTCCCGTATTGAATGTCACGAGCCCCCATGGCAAACGTACCTGACATGCTGTGTTGGAACCATTGAAGATTGTCCAGGCGAAACAATTGAAACTACAGGAACGGTGTTCTGGCATGACTCAGGATCGTCCATACGCAACAGCCAAGGTGTTTCGTAGCGCTGGCGTCACGGAAAATGTGATTTGGCAAGCTTCAGGATCTTCAAACGGCTGACTCCCAACGGGATCCTTGCATGGGGTCTATGAAGAGGGAGCTTGGAGGGATTGCAATATCCTTGGCGAGTCTTGGGTTTATAATGACCTCCTCCTCCTTCTCCTCCTGCTCCTCCCCCTCCTCTCCCACATCCTCCTCCACCTCCTCCTCCATCCCGTGTCCTTATGAGTACCTACTCCCTCTCGCACCCCGAGGCCAGTCGGATGGGCAGTCCTGGCGGTTCGCCTGAAAACTTCCTTACCACTTACGAACCTCAAGGTTTTAACCTGGCTACAACTTCACGGATTGAGGGAAGGGTCGTTTGCAAAATGCGGTTTCGTTGTAGCGCCGCGCATATTCGTTTAAAACGCTTGCAAATGAAGACAGGTCGTTATCAAAATGTGGCTCTCGCCTTAGCGCCGCGCACCTTTATCTAAGAACTGCAAGAGCTTCACGGATTGAGGGCGGCTCATTCTCAAAAATTGGCTTTCGCCTTAGCGCCGCGCGCATTCTTCTAAATTTCCCCTAGATGGCCCCAAGAGCGCCTCGAAAGCCCCCAAGAGCGCCCCAAGAGGGCCCCAAAGGGCGCCAAGGAGGCCCCAAGAGGCGCCCAAGAGGCCTCCAAAAGGCTCCCAGGAGACCCCATCAAAGGCCCCAAGAGGCGTCCCGAGGTACGCAAGAGGCCCCTGGGACCGCCAAGGCCCCCAAGACGCCCCAAGAAGCCCCCAAGCTCGCCCTTCTCCTCCTCCTCCTACTCCTCCTCCTCCTCCTCCTCCTCTTCCTGCTCCTCCTCCTCCTACTCCTCTTCATCCTCCTCCTCCTCTTCCTCCTCCTCCGTAGCCATTTTGGCTCAAGCCATTTTGGCTCAAGCCGTGTTTCCCGTTTTCTCCGCGGCGTTTTCGCCCATGGTCGGCGATTCCGCGGCGGCGGCGGCGGGCGCGTCTTGGATGGCCGCGGGGGGCTGCCCGCCGATGTGGCGGCCCAGTGTCCTGAGGATCATGGAGAAGGACTCCCTCGGTGCTTCCGCGGCGAGGCGTGCTGCGCGGCGGCGCGTGTGCGCGGCTCTGGAAGCAGCGTTGCGGCCGCTGGTGGCGGCACGGGGCGCTGCGGCGGGGCCCCGTCTGGGGCACACGCCTGGTGGCATGCGGGCTGAGGCCATGCAGTTCGTGACGCGGGCTGCCTGCCGCGCGGTGGGGGTGCGCTACAACTGTGGTACTACGGTGTACGCGCCGATCCAGGCCCCTGCAGAGCAGATGCCGAGCGTTACGGAGCCCGAGCATGGCACCGAGCAGTGCGAGAGCGTGGGCGTGGACTCGGAGATGGCTGGGCGACGCGGGGGCGTCGACGAGGCGGCCGAGGAGTTCGCGGAGGCGCATGCTTCGCAGGCGCCGATTGCAGGAGCAGAGGTGCAGACTGACGGCAAGACGGGCGAGAATCGCATGGAGTCTGTCCAGGGCGAGAACGTGGACGTGGGCTTGGAAGTGGCTGCCCGTCGCGGGGCTCATCCTGAGCCGCTTCGGAGCGCTGGCGCGGCTGTGGCGTGTGGCTACCCTTGCGATGCACGACGTATGGAGTCGGCCGAGGGTGCTGCGACGGATGTCTCCTTGAAGGTGCAGAGGGAGGCGTTTGGCGGAACGGTCGCCGAGGAGTTGAGTTCATGGACGCGCAAGTATCGCTTGCACCGCTGGCAAGCGCAAGGCTGGGCGATGGCGTCTCGGAGGCTGCCGCGGTGCCGACGAGGAAGGGTCGTTGTTGGGAGCTGCTGGAGAAGGCCGAGCGCGACGGTTTTTCTCCCTACCCTCCCGAGGTCATGGCCCAGCTCCTCTGCCGCAGGTAACACTGCTCCATTTCGGCGTCTCCAAGGGCCTCGTCACGGTCGGGGGGTCCAGGGCTGGTCAGGTCCAGCTCTGGCCCCCCGCGGGCGCACGTGTGTGCACTTTCCGCCATCTCCGCCATCTCCTCCTCCTCCTCCTGCTCCATTCCTTTTCTTTATAAATAACTTCTCCCTGTCGCACCCCGAGGCCAGCTTTTTATGGCGGGCCGGGCGTTTCGCCTGAGACTTCCTGAAGCCCCAAAAGTGGCAACAGTTTCACAGATGGGAGGCGAATGGTTTTCAAAATGTGGCTCTCGCCTTGGCGCAGCGCACACTCGTTTTCAAAAATTGCAAGGGCTTCACGGATGGAGGGCGGGTCGTTGTCAAAATGTCGCTCTAACCTTAGCGCCGCGCACCTTCGTTTAAAAACAATGCGAGGGCTTCACGGATTAAGGGCAGATGGTTTTCAACATGTGACTCTCGCCTTCAAGCGGTGCATATTCGTTTTCAACATGTGCGTGTGCGTGTGCGTGAGCGTGTTTGTGTGCGTGTGCGTGTGCGTGTGCGTGTACGTGTGCGTGTGCATGTGCGTGTGCGTGTGCGTGTGCGTGCGCGTGTGCGCGCGCGTGCGCGTGAGCGTGCGCGTGAGCGTGCGCGGGAGCGTGCGCGTGCGCGTGCGCGTGCGCGCGCGTGCGCGTGCGCGTGCGCGAGCGCGTGCGCGTGCGGGCGCGCGCGCGCGTGCGCGTGTGCGCGCGTGTGCGTGTGCGTGTGCGCGTGCGTGTGCGAGTGCGTGTGCGTGTGCGTGTGCGCGTGTGAGTGCGTGTGCGTGCGCGTGTGCGTGTGCGTGTGCGTGTTTTTGTTGTGTGTTTGTTTGTGTTTTGTGATTTTGTGTGTTTGTGTTTGTGTGCGTGTGCGTGTCGGCGTGCGTGTGCGTGCGTGTGTGTGTGTGTGTGCGTGTGCGTGTGCGTGTGCGTGTGCGTGTGCGTGCGCGTGTGCCCGTGCGTGTGCGCGTGCGCGTGCGTGTGCGTGTGCGCGTGCGTGTGCGTGTGCGTGTGCGTGTGTGCGGTGCGTGTGCGCGTGTGTGTGCGTGTGCGTGTGCGTGTGCGTGTGCGTGTGCGTGTGCATGTGCGTGTGCGTGCGCGTGTGCGTGTGGGTGTGCGTGTGCGTGTGCGTGTGCGTGTGCGTGTGCGTGTGCGTGTGCGTGTGCGCGTGCGTGTGCGTGTGCGTGTGCGCGTGGGGGGTGCGCGCGCGTGTGCGGTTGCGTGCGCATGCGCGTGTGCGCGCGCGCCCGTGCGCGTGCACGTGTGCGTGTGCATGCGCGTGCGCGAGTGCGTGCGCGTGTGCGTGTGCGGGTGCGTGCGCTCGCGCACGCGCACGCGCGCCCGTGCGCGTGCACGTGTGCGTGTGCATGCGCGTGCGCGAGTGCGTGCGCGTGTGCGTGTGCGGGTGCGTGCGCGTGCGCGTGCGCGTGCGCGTGCGCGAGCGCTTGTGCGTGTGCGTGTGCGTGCGCGTGCGCGTACGCGTGCGCGTGTGCGTGTGCGTGTGCGTGGGCGTGTGCGTGTGCGCATGCGTGTGCATGTGCGTGTGCGCGTGCGCATGCGCGTGCGTGTGCACGTGCGTGTGCGCGTGCGCCTACGTGTGCGTGTGCGTGTGCGTGAGCGTGTGCGTGTGCGTGTGCGCGTGCGTGTGCGTGTGCGTGCGCGCGTGCGTGAACGCGAGCGTGTGCGTGTGCGTGTGCGTGTGCGCGTGCGTGCGCACGTGCGTGTGCGTGTGCGTGCGCGCGTGCGTGCACACGTTCGCGTGCGTGTGCGTTTGCGTGTGCGCGTGCGCGTGTGCGTGCAACGGCGTGTGCGTGTGCGTGTGCGTGTGCGCGTGTGCGTGTGCGCGTGTGAGTGCGTGTGCGTGCGCGCGTGCGTGTGCGTGTGCGTGTGCGTGTGCGTGCGCGCGTGCGTGCGCGTGTGCGTGCGTGTGCATGTGCGTGTTCGTGTGCGTGTGCGCGTGCGCGTGCATATGTGTGCGCGCGTGCGTGTGCGTGTGCGTGAGCGTGTGCGCGTGC